CGTTTCCCATATTTCTCTCCTATTCCACTCGTATTTCCGCTTTTACAATAGAAATCGATTCGTCTGTAAAAGACATCGTCACGATATAGAGCGAAAGCGATGAGCTAGAAAAACGTCCGTATGTAAATTCGAATACGCGCGCGTATCGGGGATAACGCGGATTAGGATACACAAGTAGATCAAGTGAAGAATATCTTTAGAGGATATAGTTCAGTTTCGAAAGAGCCCGTGTTACTTCTTGGTCCTCGTCCAGTCGGGATGGTGCTCGAACTATTTTCTGAATACGTAACTCTTGCCCGTGGAGAGGCAAGCGGCCAAATATTCATGCGACCTCATATCGTGAAATGCAAACGGATGATTCGTCTCTCGCGATACGTAAACTGGATTATGCGCCACTGAGCCAGGATAGAATCGTAGCGAGAGAGGTGTACAGCAGAGTAAAGTAGAAAAGCGGAGAAGCGCTTACGGGCCGTCTAGCGCAGACTCGAAGAATATAAAATCAAAAGGAGTTGTAAGGTTCTAAAACATTGAATGTCTGCGCAACTTTGTTGCCTCCGCAGAGCAGTTATGTCTTTCGGGAACGTTTCGCTAAAGTGAATTTGAAATAGGTGATTCTTCTTGCTCTTTGTATGACTTTATCATTTTTTTTTATAGTAGTATATATAACATGATATAGTGGATTCAAACAAATAGCATTAATTAATTAATTTTTATACGGTAACAAATATTGAAAAAATGTTCTTCTTAATAACAAAATTGAAAACTAATGAACATTTTCTAATTATTTATTATATGTATTCTGAATTCTACAAGAGAGAGTAAAAAAGTAACCTTAATAGTCCCTTTTTATTGCCATATTAAGGTTACTTTTTGACTCTCCCTCGTAATAAATAAAATTTTCTACTTTGACTTTCTTACATTCTTATTAGATAAAGTACAATTATTGAATTTTGTAGCAAACCAGTAATTTTTTAATATAAAATTAGCTTACCTAAGGCAATTAGTAAATGGAATCAATATTTATTACGCTAATGGCTGAGAATAGTTTCTCTAAAGGAAACAATTTTTCCTTGCAACACGTTGAATAAAGATGTTACATTTTGATGTCAAATTTCTATTAAAAGCGCGATATAATTTTGAGATAAAATTGAAATTTTACTAATTTTAGAAATATATGACAATATAATCCTTGAAATAATAAAATGTAATAATATTAAATACATAAAAGAGAAAGGTTCGTATAATAATAATCAAATATAATATAATACTGGAGCACATTCTTCCTTCTTTCCTTCAATAATTTCCTATTCGTACATTCTGATTCTCCGAATGTGGGACTAAATGTACTTAATTTTCGTATATTTTATGCATCTTAATCTGAAATCGATATAATTTAATGTCTCAATGTAGACGAATAAGTTTCTATTAAAAAATAATCAAATTTTCGCACCAACATATACGACGGCTCGATGCGCTCCAGTATTATATTATATTTGATTGTAATAATATTGTTTTTGCGAATAATTATAAAATTTCTCGTTTTCAGATATCGCGAAAGACCAACAAAATTTAAAATCCAATATCACATCCATCAATTACATACGTTTTTATATCTCTTTGTGTTTGCAACTCTATTACTTTCTATATATTTGATTTGAACTTAAATTATTCTTCGAGAGCCATTTTTCATATTTTTAATAATATTTATTATTTATTTCTGTCTTATCAAATTCACGCCTAATACTTAAAAATTTGTAAAACTAAAATAATAAATATAAAATTTGTAATTTAAACGATAAATCAATCAAACGCAAAGAGTGAGTGAGAAAAGTGTTGTCCTAAAGAAGGACGCTTCTGACTACTATGTGCGTGGAGTTGTTTACTTCTGCCCATGATGTGTTTGCGCATTCTCAATGGAATATTGTTGTTTTGCCAAAATATTTTTTTTTCTAATGGAAAGTACAATACAGCACGCCGAAAAAATGCCTGCCGCACACAAATAAAATCCGCTTTAACTTTTATCAATAGATACCAGCAAATAAAATTTCAAAATTGTGCTAGTTCAAAAATGCAACTTAATTTGAAAAGTAGCATGGGTTTAAATAAAACTTAAATAAAGCGTAAATGAATCGCATTGTACAACAAAATTGTATGGAATGTGAAAGAACGTTAATTAATTTACTGAAGTTTTATTTTAATGATTATATATTCCAATTAAAAGTTCATTAGAGCTGATTTTATATACTCAACTCGTGGCTGGTACGCGCGCAGAAACATACGTTGCGACGAAAAAGTTTTCCTCTCATTTCTCCGACTGATATGTCTGGTTATTTTTTGTTCACAGAAAGTTACGAACGATAGCATCCGCTTAGTATTATGCTGGTATGAAGTTTTCTAACTACAAGCACATAGTTGACTCGCTGAACAATATTTTCGTGTTTGGACAAGCCGATAAAAAGTACCGAGATACTTCCCGTAATTAACTACCGTACGATGGTGAAAAAAAAGTCAAAAAAAGAAACCACGACCAAGGACAGGCAGTTGTATGTTTTCACCTGTAAAAAAAACAAGAAAAAGAAAACAGGCCAAATGGCTTTTTTCTTTATTTACGAAGCACAATGCATCGCGAAGGAAGTGGAAATGGTCGGTTTATGGCGAGACGAAAACGAACCCGGCCAGAACGGATTAATTTCCCATGTCGTCTTTCTATCGGACGCTGTTCTGTTATCGATTCTGTTGCCGACGACGGCTATCGCAGGAGGTGTCGGTATAGTGTTGCACGGAACCATAGTTACACAACAAATTGTGACAGAGAACACCTAGGCGCTCGAGCAAGATCGGATGATCTGCTTGGTTCCAATATCAAAAGTAATGTGATTTTCACAAGTTAAACGCGCGGTACAATAACTATATCGATCTCTCATAACGACCAGATATTCCAGCAAATAGCCGGCTTGCTATCTATCGCGGAATGATAGACGAAAAACATGCGCGCGTTAAAATTTGTATTAAAATTCATGGAACACGCGTGTTTCCCGTCGCGATTACTCCTCCGCGTGGATGCGCATATTACGTTCGCTCTATATACATCGCACGCGAAAATTGCAAATACTGTACACGCGACCCTCGGGATTTTACGTATTTCGTAGCCGACGATCAATCGCCGGTCCCCTGCCTATAAACACAGAAGCCGACGCGGGTTACGAAATATTAATTCCCGAGAACCTGGCCGCGGCGTAGCACGTGATTAAACCATCTCGGTAAAAAGGGTATCCGTTTTGGTAGTCATTGAATATTTTCTCTGTGTACAAAGCGTGAAATTTAAAGGGAGTTTGAAATGGATTTAATGCATTCTGCAAATGAGGCAAAAATCATATAAAAATTTACTCAACGATTATTTTTGGGCTCGGTTTAAAATGTTCCCTTTGCAATATTTTTTTTTAATAAAATGGTATCACAATTATAATTGATAATGTGCGGTGTAATATTCAAAACTTTTTGAGATACATTTTATAATATATTATAAAAATTATTTAAAATTATTGTTGCCATAGAGATATTTATCATATGTAATAATAAATCTCTCCTTTTTTTAAATTATTTATTTTTGTTCAGCAAAGCATATTGTAAAAAAAATTTTAAAAAGCACGATTTGATTAGATTAACTCAGATATAGCGAATAATACGAGTACTAACAATATTGAACGAGGCCATCTCGGGCGATCGTATCGATAATTCGATAAGCCGCTCGATGTCCCTGGTCATTACTTCCTTCCTTTTTTAAATATCTACCGACTCATGAAGTTCCAATCTGTTTCAGTAATAACCAGAGTAAACGATCGGACGTGACGTCACTTGCTTCGAGCGCCACTAAGTCGGAAGCAATGAAATTGTCGGGAATATCGTCGAAGAATGAAGCGAGCGGGTATCTCCGATGTGGACAACAGATTTGCATTCGCGTAGCGCGGCCATTATACGCTAATGTCGGACTTTGTTTGCCCCGAAAATTGATGCTCGCCGTATTATTCTCCTTGTTTTGTACTTTTGGTTTGCAACGACGATTTCTCTCTCGCAAACCACGGCACTCGCCTCGATCAATGCCATTTTGCATTAGCGGAGCAGGTTTATTTGATTATGGACTATTTCTTTTAGTTTATTCGCTATTAGTCAGGTTTTTGCGTGTGAAAATTCAACGAAATTCCACGATTGCATTTTCTCTAAATAAAAAAAAAGCTATTAAATAAAAAAAACTACATTTGCGAATGGCTTATCTTGAAATATTGAAAATACGGATACAGAAAAAGATTGCTTTATAAATTATTTAAATACGTTTAAAAACCAATTTCGGAATCACATTACCGGCATTACAGCGCCGCGTTAACATTAGCGCGCCAGCACTATTCGTCTAGCTAACACTGCAAGTTAATTGACACGGTATTTGATTCGACTAATTACTCGTTTGTGCGTCAATGTCTTTTCGGTGCGCGCCTTCGTCTTTTAGCCTACTAATTACGTACAAATATTCTGCTGCGCTAACACTCCTTTTGTGTAAGCTTATGCCTTCGTACACACGTAATGCTTGCGCAGACGGGAAATCGCGCAAGTTTAGGCGGAGGAGCAAACATCATCTGTGCACTTTGTAGTTGCGACACGGATGCTTGCTGATTGCGTTGTTTATCATGCTATTATTGAGATTGTCGTAGACATATCGTGTCTTCCGATTTACCGTCTTAACGAGATTAATTTTTGCAATTTTTGAAATTCCGATTAAGATATGAATTTTCAACTCAATGTTATTATCGCATCTTTTTCGTCAAAATGCATTGCCGCATCGGTAGAGAAGAAACGCTGCAATTTCTATTATAGCGGGACGTAATATCGCATTTCATTACGGATCTGGTTTGCTAGAACCTCTCATTACGTTTACAAGAACGCGGCGGGAGGCGCGCACTAAAGCGTATGCGACGCGGAATAATTAATTAATTGCATCTAAAACTTACCGATGGTGGTGAGCACTGTCAGAGAATAGAGGAACGCCTTTGCGAAGTTCCATTCGTACTCCGGCACACGGCGTTCCGTTACGGTTTCACTGGTAGAACTACCGGTATACGTCCCGGCATTCTGGGTCGCCATCATGTCCTCCGTGATCCTTTTCACAAGTTGGTCCTGAAACCGCGCGATCTCCTGATCAGCTAACCTCGTCCAGTTGTCACGGTAGAGAATGTTCAACTGCTCTGTGATTATCCATATGTTCTCCACGGTCTTCGCCCGGGCCTCGCGATTAAGCTTAATCATACCAAAAGTTATTAATTAGTCAAACGTTTGAAATATTGTCAGGTGCTGCGAGAGGAATCTCATTAGGATTATAACTGACATACGTTAATTAAACTAATTTGGATTCGCGTGTGCTCATTAGTTGACATACGTTAGACAAACATGAATATAATGCGCATTCCAATGGCTTAAAGAATTGATTATGATAGAACTATGATTGCTCTATTCGTAATATCTTGTTGTACCGCGAAAAATATCCATGAATTTCATGGCAAGAGATAAATTAATAAAAGACAATCAAAAGTTCGTATTCTTTCCAAGCAATGCAATCAAAATCGTATTGTTTATAAAAAGAATACGAGTATTCAGTCGCATATCAATGAGCGATTGCTATCGAGACAACAATCCGTTGTCACCATTATTGGCCGGAAGCAACAGACAGCATCCTTTGTGCCGATGTCCTCGGGGAATACGCTTTTCCTTTAAAGCGCAAGGATAGCGGAAAGGAAGCACGATCGATAAAACTTCGTTGAAACGAGCGCTCGCGCCAGAACGCACCGATAATTCGATTGACTTCGGGTTCACTGAGGTCACCTCAGGTAGAAAAGCGGAATGAAACCGGAGACGTGACGATAAATCGAGAGCTGGTGTCGGAACTGTTTGCTCTTCCTCGTAGAAAAGCGAAACAAAAACAAGTTCTCGCGTCCACGACGGCAACGACCGTCGTAATGCACTCATAGTGTATCGACAAATCTGTTTATTTTCTTTCTATTCTTATCTCTGTTGCGCTTCATACGTACACATACTAAACAATTATTAAAAAGTATTTCTATGACTTTTGAACGCTCAAGAGCAAATTATTGTCTATTTTCATTCGGCAATCGTAATTAGATTTAATCATGCCGATATATAATAGATGTAATTGTAAAAAATTGTGTTTGTATTGCATAAGATTTTTCAAAATATATTTCAAAATTTAGAAAAGGATAACACATATTAAATAAAAGTTGTGAAAAAAAAAATATATTAAGCACAGAAAGCGAATCTGTTTTCTTACTTGTTTCAGGAAAGCGGTGGTGTTTCTTCTAGGATGCTGACTTCCAGCTATCGTCGTGGGAAGTGTCCTTTGCTGCAGACCAACTTCGGCCCCGCCCTCGATGGCCAGGAAGATGAAGCTGCCCAACAGAGTGTAGGCCACGAGAAGAGCGCATATCCCTAGGTTTATAATGAATCCCTTCAAGAAGGAGTGCTGGCTGGCCTTGTCCGGCACACCGCCGAAGCACAGGCATCTCACTTGACGAGACGAATGCGTCTTCGAGCGCCCTGACGTGGATCTCTTCAGAGACGAGGTGTTACCGTTGTTTGCCGGCTTGAAGCCCTCGTAAGCTCTATAATGTCTGACGTTGTCCTTCTCCATCCTCTCTTTTTCCAATCTACGGAGTCACCGGGTCGTGTCAGCTTCACGTTCGTCGCTGAATACGTCGCCGTATGCAAGCATTTGCCGCCTGCGCGGCATTCACTTCGCGGTGCAGTCAACAGTCGAAAAATCAACTTTCCGCGATGACCCGACACTGCGCCATGCGCGTGACATGCCAAAATGTTTCACAGTCTATTAATAGTTTTCAGGCCGACCATCAATCCATCCATCATGCATTCACGTTAATCCCTTCGCTGCGATTGCGCGTGGAACGATCACGAATTATCATACGTCGCGATAACAAAGACCCTTAGAAGTAATAGAACTTTGTGATAGGATTTTCTTCGTACAGGCGTCCTTAGATCTCGTAGACTCAATCGCAACGACTGCATGACTAAGGTCTCGCGCGGAATATAATCTAAGGGACGGATTCCGCGCTTCCTCGCTCGCCGTGCGAATTCGCCGGCGTCATTCGGCGGATGTCACTTTGATTTTCGTCACTGTCGATTTCTTATTACGACGCGTGGTCGAAATCGCTCGACTGTATGATATCCTGGGAGAATTTTCTGACAGCAAAGGAACGCTCGATCGTATGTGGCGCGGACACTTCCGTCATTTTTCCATGGCATGATCGTCCCGGCTGGAATGTGGATTGGAATTCTATAGAGAAAATCGATGCTCGAAATATGTTCTGCGATATTAGTTACCTCTCAGAACCCTTTTGTTGTCGCAAGACCGACATTGATGGCTAATATTTAAAAATTATATTCCCTTGCAAGAAAAAGGAGACATTGTTACATATTTTTTTAAGTTTCATTCATAAATGTAATCTTTAATATTGTTTATTACAATTAATTTTTTAATTAATAGTTTTGGTAAAGACAGGTAACTATACGCAACAATTTGTGAAACTTATACATAATAGTTGAATATTTTTTAAAAATTTTGTAAAAAATAAAAATTATTTCCAAGCATGACAAGAATTATTCATTATTCGTTGCGTTCGTTCGTGAGCGCGATATCAATTTGCACAGTATTAACGGTTCGAGCTATGTGACTTAATTTAAGTTCGTAAACGAATCGCGATACGGGTGTTACTTTGTGCTGACTAATGCATTGCCGCGCGGCACGTAGAAAATGGATGAAAAATAATGCCTTAGAGAAACCGTGGCTGCTAATCTTTCCTACCTCCTCCCTTCTATCCTCTCCTGTATTTCTCACTCTCATTGGGAAAACAGAAACTTAAAGAACAGCGCGAGGAGAATTTTCGGAAGAGAGTCTCCATGAGTCACTTAAACTTTCTCCCTACCGTCTGAATGCGAAGCCACTCAGTTTTCCGCTTTTCCATCCTTTCTTCAGCTCCGGGCGCAAAAAACGAATAGCAACGGAAGAAGATGAAGCACGGTTCGTCGACGGGCGATAGAAACTTCAAAGCTTCATTCCAGCAAACCGGATTTCCGTAATAAGTAAGCCCGATGCACGTCCGCCGGTTCGCGCTCACTGAATGTTTCACTGCAGCTTTTCCCTTATTTTATCTCTTCGTCCACAACGAATTTCCGCCATCGTTTTAATGCACTGTCGAGCGGTCGTCGTATTCACTATCGAAAAACTGGCTTCCCGCTCCTCGAAAAACTGATTAGAGCACCCCAAGTCGAGCCGGTAATTTACTTGTGTCTTTCACGTGCCACGAGTGGAGCACTTACGTTCGCTGCATGTAAATAAATCGCGCGTTGTCTTCCGGGTCTCGTGGAGCTCAGGAACGTCGCCACTTTCATGCTTCACCGGGTTCTGAAAGAAAAAAGAAAAAAAGAGATTCGATTATTTACACTAGTTTCCTCGAAAGAACGTAAAGTGACTGCTCGGTCATTAACCCCGTGTCTCGATATCGTGTCAATAATTATTTATCGCACGCCGCGGCGTACGAATTATTTAGCGCCGCGTTATATGAAGGGCACTCGTGCTATCGCAATATCGTCGGAAAAAATTCAATGCACTCAGACGAATTTTATTTCCAGCCGGAATTTGTGAGAATCCGGACATCAGCGTTGCTCGTCCGTGACTGCTTCGACGTCCTAAGAAAGACGGTTGAATTCCAGAAGGACCTTCGACGTAGAATTATTTGAGGGCCCTGGGGGAAATCGCGGGAAACTTCCGAGCTACGTGTTTTCCTGTGTACTTGCACTCGGTCACCTGGAGCTATCCAACGGGGACAATAATCGACGGTCATGGTAGACTTCGCCATTACGGGAGGAACAGAAAAAGAAGAGGTGAGAGACGAGTCGAGACGAGCGATAGACGGCTGCGAGATGGAAGAATCGAAGGAACGACGATAGATTCCGCGCGGGAAATATTGCTTTCTTCGTACGTTCGACATCCATAAATGCATAGCAAGATCAAGCGATCCACGACACCGCCTTCTTTATTCTCCAGCGTGATTTAAGACTCGGGATTGAAGGATACAGAGTAACGGTCGGATTTGAAACTTTCATGGAAAATTATTTGCATAATGTGTGAAACCGGTGAGTGATCCGCGCCTTCGGTATAATATTTTTAATATTAAAATGCTTAATGTAATAATATATCTTTTATTTATCATGTGTGTAAAACTCTTTTAAGCATATACAATGGACAAGATCTTTTGATTGTGCATTTTAGAATTAGTCCGCAAATTACAACAATAGTGCCCAGCAGTTGCACGATATCAAAGCTTAATAGCGTAATAGTCAGAGAAAGTCGTATCCGTTGCTTGCATGCACAACGTAGTGGAACATCTCCCAAAATTTACTCTCTACTGATCATTCGCGCGTGTACAACCGTCTAAATATGCACAATATATAGACTTGCGTAGCGAAACCACTTCCCGACAGTTACATTTGCACGAACATGACCGTAGTAAACAGATCGGATACTAACTCGACACTAATTTATTGTTTGGCGTGATCGACCGCCGCCTTCGATCGGCTCCCGCTTTCGACGGCGAAGAAACGATCTCGCCGCGGAATAAACTGCCAGACCGCTGATCGTAAATCGGATCTGATCTCTCCTCCTTCCCTCTCGATTTGCGGTTTTCCCTTTCTTTTTTTTTACGACTTGTTTACGAGCCTGCGTTTTTTGACGACGCAAATATGTTGGCGAAATGTCTAATATTCTATCATATCGCCCTCATTTATTGCTAATAATCGTCTGTATCCCCTTTAAGTTTATAGATCGTTCAAGAGACGCTGTAAGACCACATGATCGGCAGGGTGTAACAAATGCCTTCTACGCTAAAGATGATAAAAGCACGCCTTGGAAGAGTTAACCTCGATTCTTTTTTTTCATAAAGTTAATATATATCGACCGAATACTTAAATAAAGTGTCTTGTATAAATAATAATAAAAATAAATATAATAATGAATAAAACTAACCCGCGATGCGATTTTGTTTCGTACCACGCATACTGATACAAGAGAGTTTCGTCAAGTTTAAAAACTGCGTATCTCATGTCGAAATGTTATTTCACAGAGATTGCATCGCAGCTTGTTCGCACATTAGCATTTATAACCAATTTGCACCGAGAATTGAAGAATAACCAGCACAAAAGTCGATTACATCACCGACGGCTTTACCGTCGACGATCACGGAGATCGAGCTTTATGGGGGTGGTTCTCGCGCGGCGCGAAAAGCAGTGGTGGACAAGGGCAGAGAGGGGAGGGTGACGGAGCGAAAAATGTGCAAGAGAGGAACGAAATGTGAAGAGAAGAGGGATAAAGGGGAAGGCGAAATGCAATTTTTCCATTCGGCGCTTTTTCCAGCGACAGGGGAACCACCTGTGCTCGTCTCAGCGACTTTTAAATTCGTACCATTGTCGGCTCTATTTGCTGAAAAATGTTTATTCAATTTCGTTTACCGTCACTGCAAGATATTTACCCGGTCGCTTTTGCTCGAACAGTTCTCGCACCACCGCGGACGATGGGAATTGGATGACGCAAGGATACGACGGAGGGCGGAGGGAGTGGGAGGTCAAGTTAGTAAGTTCGCGATATGTGCATTTTTCTGGAGTTGAAAGGGGAAGTACATCGTGTACAAATATCAAAGGTTGTGGCTCGTGCGAGAAATTTGCATATTGCTTCGGATTGATTGCGTCAGGTTGCTTGAAAATAATATTTCAAATTCGTTACACGACAGAAATTTCGAGACAAATTGTAGGAATTGTACTAAATGTAGTCGGAAGTCGCGCGAGTCACGTAGAACATTTGGGAAGCTTTCCTCGAGCGACGTACGACGGCATTTTCGCGCGGATATAAATCTATAGAATAAATCGGCGATCTTAATCATTGCAACGAAAATAGGGTCGTACATGCGGGCTGAATTACGATGAGTTGAGAATGAAGTTACGAGTATCCTCTCTCGACTCCGCGCGTCGACTTTGTCCGGTTTTGTGTATCAGCGAACGAGATCGCTGTCGACGATAGAAATTTATGGCAGAGTCGAAACCCTCGAAAATTTCATTAAGCCGTCCATGCAGCGATATTGAGAATCGACGGCGAACCGATCGAAAATGGAAGTTACTATCGCGATACAATGCATTCAACGTACCGCCTTCGTCATGCACAAAAAGCTTGTGGCTTATATAAACGCCAATTAATCACCGGCAGCTACAGACAATTCATAAATGTGTAACGTAATAAATTCACCAAAAAAAATATAGCGTTTATATTCACAATCAAAAATTAGATCGTATGTTATAGTTGCCTAAAGGCAATAAAGGCAATTAGAAATAAAAAATAGTGGCGATTAAGCGAATAAAAAACATTTGGCTATATTGTAAAATAAAATAAAAAAACATCGAAAAATTTTTAGCAGAAATTAGCATCCTTCGATTTTTTCGCTGATAATTCTATGTAAAACATCTGAGATGGCTCAGATGGTTTTGTATCAACGACTAACAAAAAAAAGCACCGTACCTTCTTCTTACTAAGTTTTCTTAGCGTCCCACACGGATTTCAGCTTTTACACGCTTCTAACTTTTTCCTTAAAGCCGCTCGGGTTAGCCACACGGTTTTATCTGCGCAAAATTGAGCACACCGAGTGCGCCAAGACGACCACAAGAAACTGTACGGAGGAACTACGAAAGAACAAATAACGACGATACATTTTCGCACAGCTGTTCGGCAAACTTCACCGCCGTTGTGCTGCGCCGCGTCGCGCCGAGCGTGTCTGACCACGAACGCCGCGACTACTTACGTGTGTGTTTAACATCGCAATTTAAAATTGCCGGCGCCGCCTGCGGAACAAGATAGACTAGAAATTTCCATCATGACGCAAAATTCTTCCCCGTATAATATAACATATCTGCGTGTGCGTCTCTCTCTGTGTGTGTGAAGCGATATTCGCATCGAGAAAACCGTGCAAAACGAGTCCTTTAGCGATTCGGCTTATTATAGGATCGCGGTTGCGGTACGACGCGGGCGACGTGACTACCTCCGGAATATACGTCTCGATTTTCCGGATTTTCCTCACGGGCGTATCAGGACTGCCGTTACCGCTCTTTCCCGTTGCGAAAACTTGTCGCGCGTGTCTCTACCCGCGTCTCACGCAAAGTTTCTCGTTAAAGACAGGCCCGGGTTCGGTACGCGAATGAGCAACTTGTCGATAACCCCGACGCACTCGCGATTGCGATAGCGACTCCCGCATGAACTCCGACGCCGTCATGTTGCGTCAATATTTCCGTCCTCGTCGCATGAGCGAGCTGTTTACTTTGAAGCGCTTCCACCTTTGCCATCGGCTAACGGGAGATTGAACAAGTTTTCACTGGTTTCTCGTACGCGGCAGTTATCTGATGGTTCTGATAATTACATTTATATGAATGTGGAGGAATCGCATGACGGTCTTGAATTTCAGATTTATACTTACGTTGCATATCATTTCGCGGATTTCGATGATTTGCAATTCTAAGTTGAGTAAAAGTTGAATATAAGAGTAAAGCTTACATTTTGCTAATACTTTAATGTTTGATTTGCAAATTGCAGGGCGGAGTACGAAGCACCCTCGGCGCACATTACTGCCTTGTGTAACTTTCTCATTCAAACTATCGAGACGTATCGATGAGTTGTAAATGAACAAGCTGTCGATGCGCAGAATGTATTTGTAGAAAGTTCGAGGAATTTGTCGTATAATTTTTGAGCCCCACGATCGGTGTGCCGTAACGTTTGATCACAAGGAGAGAAGAATAATTCATGCGCGTTCAGCGCATTAAACGCGTAAGTACATGTTGATTTTGTAAAGATGTCGATGAAGCAAGCGATTTTGCATCCGCGTTATTAATTCATGGGAAAGTTTAAAATGCGCATGTGTTCGAGCCTCATTCCCACAGGCTACATTATTAGGTAAGCAACGTAATGTCGAAGCGACGAAGTTCCTCCAATAAAGCTTTAAACGCGACTCGCCAATCCATAAATTAACTTCCGCAATAACAGTTCGTCGTAAGCGCGAACCCATGTTATTATCGAATGAACTTTCCGACTTGGTCGTAGTCTGATGCGATTACTTCCTGTCCACGCGCGGTCACGGGGGCCCTGTATGAGTTCGGTATTAATTTCTGGCGTAAAAGTTACAACAGTTACAACTGTAAACTGCCTGATGCGCCGTTTCCGCGCAGCGCACACGGCAGCGTTGCCCGGCGGTAACGCCGGCGATGTAATTGCCCCGACCCGAAGCCGGCCGCGAAGAGTCGGCGATTCGAACGCGGTTTATTAGGTGGCTGTGCTCAATTATCGGCGATACGACAATAATTTGCCCTGGTCTG